GGTTGACAATGTGGGAGACTAGTGACCTAACTGCTATACCATCTGCTGGCCTCTTAAAGACCTATCTTCAAGAAGATTTTCCCCTTGTTACAGCACCCTGTTACTAAAGCTAATGTAATTTTATTACGCCTCCAATCTATAAGCCTAAGCTTTTCAACTCGTTTCTAATTCCAACGGCCATTTGTATGTATGCTTTTAATCCACCAGAGGTCAGTATTGGGTTGATAAAGACAGGCTTTTGATTCTTAATTTAACTCCTATTGCTAGGTATCTTGAAAGTTATATTCCACAATAAACCTTTATTTAATGACATGTTGGATGCCTCATAGACACTCTTTGACAGTTCAAAAGTGTTAATAGTGACCCTTTAGGTTAACATTTAGTCCTTATTTGGTAGTACTTACAGATTTTCCCCTCATCTTCTAATAGAGCACTCAAGTCCTATGTTTTACAGATATTCCTCCCCTTTCTTCCCAAAGAATTATTTTATTTAACTTTCTTTCTAACTTTCTTTCTTTCTTTCTTCCTTTTAAGTTGACCATTTGACCAGAGATGGGGGCGCGTGTGCGTGCACACACACACACACACACACACACACACACACATACACACACACATACTCACAGAGAAAGAGAGAGAGCAAGCAGCCAGGTCTGGGACTTGAACCATGGTCGGCCATGTGGGAGTCCAGCACCCTTAACCACTATGCCATCTGCCAGCCCTGATATTCCTTTCTTTTATTAAGCCAAATCTTGTTCTCACATGATTTACTTTTGTTCTGTGTTGCTTGTATGTAGTAAACACCTAAATTTACTATGTATATGACACTATGCACTTGGGGCATTCTTAGAATGGTAATGTTTCTTAATTTCAAATACAGAAGAGTTGCACAGGCAAGTGCTTTACTGTTATTTTCTCCTGGATAGCCAACAGTTTTACTGAACTCATATTCTCCATCCTGCACCATAATGGAAGCTGAACCTGTTTTTTTTTTTGTTGTTGTTGTTCTTTTTTAAAAAATGTATTATTATTATTATTTTATACATTCAATCACTATACATCATTTAGCTTATGTAGAGAATTTACTCAATATGAACTATACCTCAAACCAGTCCAGTTGAAAACACTATATACATCATTAACATGTAATAAACCTTTCTGGGTAAGTCTAATACACTTACGCAGAATTCTTCAACATGGATCTTCCACTTAGATCAGATTCTGCCATGTTAAATACTAGGTATATTTCCATTTCTGTATCTTATTCCATTTCTCTACCTGATGCTCTATTCCTACCTGAGTCCAACCTTTCTTTCCAAAACCCAACAAAAAATCTACTTTCTTTAAATGCCTTATCTCAATACTTATTTATGGTGCTTTCTGTCTGTGTTCCTTCTTCTGGTCAAACATCTATTGAATCTTAATTACTTTCTACCAGTCCCATAAGTATATGTTTTTTTTTTTTCCCTATACTGTCATGAATAGGACTTTTTATTGGTCACTATTAAAAGCCTGAACTTTAAACAGATTCTTGGACTGGTGGTTCATATCTATCAGCTCGTTCAACTTTGGCACCCATCTCATCCCCAGTAGCTTTTCCAGAGCTACTACCTTCACCATGAAGCTCCCTGAGTTTTCCCAATTCAAACTTGGGCTTCTTCAGCATTTTTACTTTTCTGATGAAGACATTATGGAAAGGGTAGATGGACTGACAAGCCTTTTCTATGTCTTTTCCAATGCTGTCTGGAATCATTTTATTGACCTCTTCTTTCGAATCATTTGTCTGCATCTCCTGGGTCATGATTTCCATCATCTTCTTTTGGATTTGATAGACCTGCTGATGGTGGGCATAAGAGTCTTCTGTATCTGATTGTTGTGCCATTTTTTTGACCGTGGAACACATTTTGTCATGGCTGAGATCCATGCCATGGAAGTTAGTCAGGCAGTTTTTGCCCTAAACATCCTCAGTAGTTAGCTTGAATTTCCTAAATGCGACTTCATCATTCTGCAGATCTGTAAGGCTCACTTTGAACACAGGATCCTTAAGGTCGTCAGACACAATTTTGGTTCCTTGAGTCCTGGTGAGCAGTGTTCTCCCAATATTTCTTACGTTGAATATAGCAGGTGCTTTCATGCAATACCAATCTTTTTCAGCAAATGGATCAACCACTTTCTTCTTGGCTCTCTTTTTGCCACCTTTTGTAAGGCTCTTATTCTTGTTAACCGCCATGGTGCTACTCAGAGAGCCAAAAAACCCTTAAGTATACATTTTGAATATATAACAGTTTCCTTTGCATCTGTAGTCATAATATGTGAGTATTTATTTTATTGTTCTACCTGAAATTTTAGGTTCCAATATAGCCAGTGTCTGCATAGCAGATCTGCCATGACTGATCTTTTACAGAGTAGAGAAACCTCGATAGTTCTGACAGATCCTAGGTTCTGTAGAGCTTTAGACTACCCCTTGAAGCACTTTAATTTCTAGCATAGGGTTTTCTAGATTTGGCTCAAACTACTTTGCACTCCTCCAAATCGACAGGAAAACCAGATGATAAGTAACAAGAACAAATCACGCCCAGCCATGGTGGCAAAAGTAAGAGGGGACCTCTGTGTGGTGCCGAGGTCTCATGGGATGCTCAAGTTTGGTTCCTCATCCAACCTACACGGGCTGAGTGTGGTGACTGGAAGCCTGGGGCAGGAGGATTATGACATGGCCAGACCCCGTCAAATATCCCCTGAAAACAAACAAACCAAAACAACAACAACAAAAGAAATCATAGGAAACCTGAAATTGTTTTCATAGGATACTTTTTAGATTTTTATTATTTCAAGTTTTCATGACAAACTCACCTGTGACTCCTCCTCCTCTTGATTGCTTTTGCTACACTGGCAATATTTTAACTCACATTTAATCAAATAATATTTATGATGATTTTGTTTTTGCTGTTAATGAAGGAAGATAGTTAAGGGAGCAAGTGAGCCCTCTCTAATAGAGAGCTTGCTTTCTCAAATATGAAAGCTTTAGGAACTTCTCCATTCCTTCTTGTTTTCCCAGAGTCCTTGTTTATGTGGTTTGATGGTCCATAGTTATACTTTGCATATAAAGTAAGTGATGAAGGATTTCTTACTTTTGAGAGGAATAGAGAAAATTTTCTATTTAACTTGGGGTTTCAAATGCTTGGGGGGTATGTGTGTCTTATGAGCAAACCTATATTAAATGCTTTTGAGTGCCTTCTCTCAGATTTTTACTGAAGCCATGTATTTCATGTAAGTCAAGCAAAATATCAACGGGTAATATGCAGAGCAACAAGTTTGTTCATTGATTCAAATCTCTGGAATGTAGATTCTTTTCATTTTCTTGGCAGAAACTAGCTAACATAGTTCAAGTTTTTCTCGGTCTTGTTATAATCATCTCATTTGACTGGGACCTGGATTGATTTCTCTTGTACTTATTATTTATCTCAAAATCGTTAATGTTATTCAAAAGACTTGGAGACTGATTTTTCTCCTTACCTAATATCTACTTGTCACTAAGGAGTAATATTATATATCGGTTAATGGATGTATATTTTGAGATGCCATATGCATAAACTTTGTATTTTGGGATTAGCTATGTATTAGATTATCTATTGGGAAGTAGTTTTAGAACATGCTGGGTTAAGCCAAATTAAACAAGATTTTTTAAAAAAATAGGAATCTCCCAGCATTTATTCTGCTAATGAGCATTGTACATGAAGGCTACATGATATATAGTGTTTCCTATTGATTTGGCCAAACTCTTTTTTTTTTGAGGAAACATTTGCTTATTCTTTGAGGGACTGTTGGTGTAGTGGAAAGGTCACTGATCTGGAGATCACTCTTTTGAGTTTCTTATTTACCACTTACTCACTTTGTGACCTTGAACAGATCCTTTGTCTTCTAGCCTCAGTTTCCTGAATGGTGACTAAGGTCATTTCCAGCTCTAATTCTGGGTAGTTTAATGCCTCTATTGTTGATTGTCCATAGTTAACACTTTCCACTTCTTTTTGTCTGTTGAAACCATACTATCATTTTAGACTCTTTGGTTATATATTCAGAAAAATATATCTTTTAAAACCCTGTTTTCCTGAGATCCTGGTCAGGGAATACTGTTGGATTAGTTAGTTCAAATCACTCTGTAAGATAATTCTTTCTCCTAATTACATTTTATTGGTCTCTTTAAACCCATATGACAGTTTTTAGGAGTCCCCAAGCTTAAATGTATCACAATTAATTTCAATCTCTGTCTTCTCCCCCAACTATTATGGTTTCAGTATGGTATTTTCTTTCATTTACCTAAGATAAATATTAGGCATTTGTTGGGGCCAGCAGCTAAGGTGCTGGACTCCCACATGGCCAACTGCTGTTCAAGTCTCAGACCTGGTGCCTTGAAAATCGTGCCGGGCACATGGGCATGCATGCCCCAAATCATGAGAGAATTGAGAAGAATAGATTGTGATATGGCCATCCCCCTTGGGGCTGATTTCTCACTTTCTTTATCTCTGAATTTCTGTCTCTCTCCTCTCTGGTGAGTGCACACACCCTATGACAAAATGTAATATACACACACGCGCACACACATAGATTAGGCATTTGTACAAATATCTTGGTTACTTAGCAAAAAATGGGTGGATTTAAATGTGTGATGATTTAGTAAGTATGTTTGAAAAGTCTTATGATAATATTTATTGTTTTTTTGTCCTGCATTATCTTAGAAAATGAGTTAGGATAACTTCAGTATTGAAAATGTATAATACATTTATATATTTGTTGTTATTTCTGTATTAAGGCATCATGTTAGTTTTTCTTTAATATATGAATTTGTTCAAAATTAGAAATTCATTGAAAATTTAATTTTATTTCTCTTTCTCCCTTCCTCTTCTTTCTTCTTTTTTCTTTCCTTCTTTATTCTCTCCCCTTTCTTCCTTCTTTCCTTTTTCTCTTCTCTTCTTCCTCTTCCCATGTGTTTTTCTCTGTCCTAGGCCCAACAACAAAGAAACCTGGATAACATCGTCTTGCAACACCCCAGAATAGGTAGCAAGAGAAAATCTAAGAAAGATGCATACACAGTCTTTGATACAGAGATAGAAAGCACTAGTCCCAAGTCTGAACAGGATTCTGGAATTCTGGATGTTGAAGATGAGGAAGATGATGAAGAGGTAACTAACATTTGAAACGTGGAACGGAGACTATTTTTAATATTAAATGTAATATTATTGAGGTATGACAAAGAGTTTATCTGTCTAGTATGATTTTGTGATTTTCTGGATATTAATGGGCCCCGATTTAAAGAAAGTGAAAATACAAATACTAAGATAATTTACATTCTGGTTCTTTCTACAGAGTTTAGATTTTAAATGTACTCCTCCATTTTCAAAAAGATAGTTTTCTTTTTGCTCTCCTGATTGGGTACAATGGATGGAAGAGTAGAGTTTATCTGACCCAGAGATAAGAGGTCTAGGTGCTATCTACTGAAACTGGAACAGAGTTACTTGAGACTGATAAAAGTTAGTATTGGGTCATCGGAAAAGTCATGACATGTTTTTCTGTGCAAAAATGTGTCATGATTTTCCAATGACTCAATACTTCAGAAGGTGAGGAGTGAAGAAATGGATTTCTTTCCCTTGAGAAATTATTCATATTGAAAATATAAAAAGGTTCCATTAAGTTGATATCACAGTTCTGGAGGAAATAAATGTATTGCGATTATGTGGTATCTGGGAATCTTGTGACATATTCATAAAATCTTTTAGACTAGTTCTGTATCACCATCAGGCAAAGAATGAGAATAAATGGCTTAACTAGTAAGTATTTTTGTATTATTATTTGTTGTTGGAAGTATATTTAATATATCTTTAAAAATAAAACTATGATATTGAGATTTCTTGTTAATTTTTTTTCCCTGAACATTTACTAGTTGTATAAACTGGGTCAGATTCCTTGTGAGTATCGTGTTTAGAAACATGAGCTTTGGAGTCAGACAATATATTCAAATCCTGGCTCTGCCATCTTATTTTTAAAAATTACTAAAATGATAGAAGTTACTTTTAAAATGGCCACTGGCATGTGTGAGGAACCATTTACTCCTATACTCTTTAACCTGTTTTTTTCTTCAAGTGCTTGTCTTTTTTTCATGTCTCAGTTCTTCAGATAAAACTGGGATCACTCTTTCTTCCCCATTTAGTCCTCTGTTATTCTCTTGCTACTCTTTCTGACCTTCTCTCTCAAGTGTCCTGAAACTTGTTATTGTCTTACTTTGTAGTGTTAGGTAAATTGTCCGATGTATTGGAACTTTAGTGTCTTCATCTGTTAGGTAAAGATGGTAGTCTCTACCGCTTAGGATTGCGTAAGTACCTGCACCATAAATGGTGGCCTGCGAGCATCAGTTCCTGTCCTACTTCATTTCTCTTCCTTGCTGACTTCTGCAGTGTATCACCACTGTCAGTATGCCTGTTCCTGTTATTCCTCTTTGATTTCAAAAATCAAACTGGCACTGTTTACCTTGTGCTGAAAAGCAAATAACCAAATTAGTTATGTGTCTTGGACATCAGCATGTAAGTTTGATTGAATGTCTGAGGTACTGTCATCTGTGAAGTACTACATTCTTTTATATAGTTTTCATTATTGAAGTGAATTTAAGTGAATAATTGTAGTTACCATTTTTAATTAAGATTTATACCATACTAGGTAGGATATGTCTGTTCTATAAATTAGGTAATGAGTGGTTAACACTTGAAAGTTTCATCCTAATCCCTGTTATACTTGGATACCAAGAGCTCTTCATGGCTCCTTTTTTTTTTTTTTTTTTTTTTTTGGAGAGGTTTTTTTGCTATAGGGCGCGTGCGCTCGCCAGACAGACAGAGAGAGACATAGAGACAGAAAGCGAGAAATCACCCCCCAGGGGGGATGGTCACGCCGCAATCCCTTCTCCTCCATTCTCCTCTCAGGATCTTGGGCACGCACGCACACGCGCCCGGCGTGAGTTTCAAGCCACTGGGTCTGGGACGCGAACCATGGTCGACTACGTGGGAGTCCAGCAACATAGACATTACACTAACTGCTGGTTCCCTTCATGGCTCCTTTTTATTTTATTTTATTTTTTTTTTTTAAATGATAAAGAGTATGTGTGATCATGAGAGAAAGAACCAGAACACTGGTGAGGGGCACCCTTCACAAGTTCTCATCATGCTGCAGTCCTCTTTTCCCACCACTTCAGCCTCTCAGGATCCTGGGTACCTGCCTGCCTGTATGCCTGGCATATTTTCAGTCTGACCAGGTTATCCAAACCTCAGTCAGCCATATGACTTCCAGCATTGCAGGGTGCTTGCATTACCCATGTGCCACAGTGACTGGGCCATGTTTTCCTTCTTCCTTCCTTCCTTCCTTCTTTCCTTCCTTCCTTCCTTCCTTCCTTCCTTCCTTCCTTCCTTCCTTCCTTCCTTCCTTCCTTTCTTTCCTTCGTTTGTTCATTCATTCTGGTTTTGCTATAGGGCATGTGTCCTTATCAGAAACAGAGGGGAAGTAAGAAATCTCCTCCCCCCTCCGGGGGTGGATGGACATGACACAATCCCTTATCGTTTCCTCAGGATTTTGGACATGTGTGCACACACGCCTGGTGTGATTCTCAAGCCACCAAGGTCTGGGACTTTAACTGTGCAATTGGCTATGTGGTATCCAGCACCTCAACCTCCACATCACCTGTTGGTCTGACCCATACTCTTATTAGAACTGAGAAAAGTTTTTTGAGTGTTATCTAATGAACCAGTTTAACCATTTGATTGATAACCCATGGAGATAGAAAAGGATAGAAAGGATTTGATATTCCTGAATATATTTTGGTATTCTCTCTTGCCTGGAATGATGGTATACCAGGCTATATACACCCTGGAGACCAAAGTCGGAGGTATTAGACTCACCACAGATAGTTATATAAGTAGGACAATAAAGCATCAGTTTCAAGATAGATCAATAAATTCCTTTCATTTACATTTTGGGAGGAATCAAGGAAATGAAACTCTGTCAGGCACTATGGCTTATGGAAAAAGAAATCGGACATAGACACAGGCCCATGGATAATACACATCCTGAAGATATGGTTAGATAATGAGATGGCAAGATGAAATATATACATAGCTTTGACCTGTCACTGAGAACCTTCTGGATAAGGACTGTTCTTCATCACTAACTCACTGAAGAGCTTGTGCAAGTCCCTTTTAATTTTGTGCCATGCTTCTTCTTTGCTTTGTCTTATGAGGTCCAGAGGGGGGAAAAAGTGGGACTAGTAAAGCACATCGAGGGGTTCTCATAAAGGAAGCACTATAAAAATATACTTGGAAATCACTATTTCAAAATGGCCCCATATCCCAAATCAAACATACTTCATTATTAGAGATTTGCTGATTGAGCTCTTACAGCAAGAATTCAGCACTTCACTGTCATCTAATGGCATCCTATCTTAAAAAAGAATCCTACCTTATATTTATTTACTTCTCAGTTTGAATCTTCTTCCAGTGCACATTCTTAATCTGAAACCTCATGTAGAGAATTATTTATCTAGATGTCTCCAAACTGGTTTCTTGGCATAGTTCTTGCATGGTGTGAATAAATTCTTCAGATAAGGTCTTTCATGACCCACTGTGACGTTCTGACCTTCATTCTTGTCATTTTTCAACAGACCTCATTGAGAGCAGCATAGTTTTGGAATATTGTGACTTTTAATCTGTGAACATGGTAACTGTGGCATAGAACCCTAAGGGCAGTGGATCCTAATATATTTGGGGTTATATATTATTTTGAAAGTTGTTAAAAATACATAGAGTCTTTTCCCAGTAAAATATGTATTAAATTCACTGACAAAAAGATCTGCATGTAATTTGAAGGGATCATGAAATTCATGTTACCCCTAAGACCCAACTTAAGAATCCATGTGGTAGAGCAGTGCTTCTTGAATTTAACATACATAGGGATAACTTGAGAACTTTTATTAAAATGCAGATTCTGATTCTACAGGTTGGGCATGAGTCTAGATTCTGCGTTTTTGCAAAGTCGCAAATGAGAGTAGTATATCTGGTCCCTGGGCACACTTTGAGTTACATGGCTACAGAAGACCTGGATGCTTCTGTTAGTTCATAAATAAAATCATGAATGTTTGGGTATCCTATTAGCTTTTCCATTAATTAAAAGTTTTTCTGGCAATAAGTGTAGTGCTTTAATCAAAAGTTATATTTTGCTTTCGAAAATCCATTGCTTTGATGATAGATTGCTAACATTTTAAATGAAAATTTTGTAATTCTAATTTAATAAGTTTAGATAACTTTCTTATCCTTTGAAGTAAGAACTTTTTACCCTTTCCTGTGCTTTTAATGAAAATAGACTTAATACATTCTTTGAGTTGAATGATATATTTAGGCTACATACAGTGTCTTTAGTTTAATGTTATTTAATAGGAGTTGGGTGGGAAAACCCACACACTAGATATAGCTTTGCACATAGTAAGCAGATAGTTAATTTGTTATTAAACTGAAATACAGGTTGTGCTAGAGATGGGAAAAAAATTAATAGCTTGAGGAACCAAAGATGGAGTCCCATTAGTAAATTGTCATCTTGGATAAAAAGAAAAAAAAAAAAGGCATATGTTGAACTAACTGTCTCTTTCTATATCTCTCTCTCATCCTATCTTGCTCTTTCTATTGTCTCTTTCCCAGATGAGCTCTTTTTGTTTGTTTGTTTTTAAATAAGAAAGAGAGAGAGAGACAGGTATTTTCATCAGAGTTTCGCCATATAGTGCTCTCCCCGTCCCAGCCTTTGAACTACAGGCACATACTGTCATGCCTGGAATGTTTAGGTTGGTTCAGGATCCAAATGTACCCTTCCATGTGGCCCCAGCGTCATACTCCACTGTGTCACTGTGACTGGGCCAACAGAGTCAGGCTCTTAATGATTGCTGAGTAGTAGGGCAAAGAAAAGCACTCCCTAGGAAGCCTCTTTTTTTTCTCTAAGCTAATGAAAGGATCACAATTGTGTGTGTGTGTGTGTGTGTGTGTGTGTTTGTGTGTTTTGACTAATCATGTATTAACTTGAACTGTATATAGGCTCTGGCTTGGTGCTATATTTTGAATTGCAGTGCTGGAAGCTATATGGCCCAGTTGGTCTGAAACAT